AGGAAGGGCTGGGGGGCTGAGGAGGGGCTGGGGGGCAGAGGAAGGGCTGTGGGGCTGAGGAAGGGCTGAGGGTGCAGAGGAAGGGCTGGGGGACAGAGGAAGGGCTCCACCAGGGTAGCACACAGGCCTCGGGGCGTTAGACCGGGTGCCAGGGCTCCCCCTGGCCCTCAGTGTGAGGTCCAGCCCTCTCTTTGGTAGAGGTCCTTTAGGGGTCACTTTCTCCCAAAAGCCAAGTGGCTCCTAAAAGGTTCTTCTGCCCCAAACTTGTAGGAGGGGCCCACCTCCAACCCCCTCATACCTTTGCCACCCAACGGCCCTCCAGCCTCCTCCTGCGGGTGGGGAACGGCGGGTGCTGCGTCTTCCCACGGCAGTGGCGGCCTGGCCGTCCCCATTTTGCTCTTGATGCGGAGGCTGTACTGGCGGGCCAGCTGGTAGACCTTGATCTTGGCCTTCTCGCTCATGTGGCCGTCCATCATGTGGGAGAGCTGCACTATGCAGGGGTGCAGCGGGGCCGCCAGCTCTCCCTGGGCGCCACTGGTCAGCTCCTTCACCAGCTCCTTCAGCTCCCGGGCCAGGTGGGCCGGGCTGGGCCGCCCAGTGGGGGAGGCGCTCTCCGGGGAGGCAGTGACCGACTCTTCGGTGATGGCGCCCAGCTCGTGCTCCTCCAGGATGAAGAGAGGCTCATGCAGGTCAAAGCCATTGGCCTGGCCTTGGCCCGGCCCCTTCCGAGGACTCGCCCCAGAAGACTCCATCCCCTCCCAGATCTTCAGGATTTCCGAAGACGGGCGGAACTCAGCGTCTGTGATAGGAGCTGGGTCCCCAGCACCGGCACCCGCCTGGCCTGGTCCCGGGAGGTCAAACAGGGCCCAGGAAGCCGGCCTGGAGCCCGCCTGTCTCCTGTGCCCCAGTGGGGCCACCGGCTCCGGGTCCTGCTTGGGAAGGTTGTTGAACCTGGAGACGGAGTTTCTCACCAGGCCCTTGGGGATGTAGGAGAGGCTCTCCCGGCGCCGGACGCTGAAGCCCGCGTCATGGTGCTCTGCGTTCTCGTAGTAGCTCTTAATTCTGTCCAGCAGCAGCCGGTCCCGGGTGGAGAGCATGGTTTCCTTCTTCTTGCAGGAGGACCTGTCGGTCTCCGCCGAGCAGCCCGGGCCTGGGGGCTCCGTCCCGTTGACAGAGGGGCCACTCTCCGTGGCCACCCCTACACTGAGGTCCACTTCGGGGGGGAGCTGAGCGCTGAGGGCGTCCGTGGTGCTGCCGCAGCGGGCCAGGCCCTTCTCGCTGCCCTCCAGGCTGAGCACACTGCTGCTCCGGCTGGTCAGCCTCGGGGTCGCGAAGCCAGGGGACTTGCCGTCCTCCAGGGCCAGGCTGCTCCGCCGGGAGAAGCTGCTGACGAACCGCTCAGCAATGACACTGGCCTGGTCCAGCACAGAGGGCGGCAGGAGGCTCTCGGGCTCCTGGGCAGCCCCCGTTTCCTCCTCCTCCTCCTCTTCCTCCTCCTCCTCTTCCTCTACCTCCTCCTCCTCTTCCTCCTCACTGCTCAAGGCCTTCATGTCCTCGGAGCTCTCGGCCACCGCGAAGTCCACCACGTCGCTCGGGTGGCCGCGCCCCAGCGGCTCCCGATGGGCGTCCAGGACTTCCGGAGACTCTGTGTCCGAGGGCATCTCCTCGGCGCTGGGACCCTCCTCGGCAGCAAACACCTCCGGCTCTGCCCCCGGCTCCAGGTCCGGCTCAACCTGGGACAGCACAGAGAGCTCACATGAGACGGGGGATGAGGGACAGCGCGACTGCTCAACACCGAGTGACAGGGGCTGCGGGTTTAGGACGGAAGGGGCAGCAGGTCCTGAGGGAGAGGCACGTGGGGCTGTTCCTTGGTGACCCTGCAGCGGGGGTGCTGGGCCCATGTCCTCAAAGCCCAGGAGAAGTCTCGGAGCGCAGACGGGCAGAGCGGTGAGCCTGTGCAGCCTGTCTGGGAGCTACAGGGGCCGGAGGAGCACACACACAGGACCAGCACTCCCCGCCCAATGGAGCCCTGAGCCCTGGCGCTCCCCACACGGGAGTTGTCCTGGGTGCAAACCCCAGGCCTGAGCAACACGAGAGACCACTCCTACTTCCCTGAGGGGCCAGGGCCTCCCCTGCAGCTCAGGGCTCCACCCTCCTGGGGGACGGCGCGGGGGGGGGGGGGGGGGGGGAGGCAACAGGACCACATGCTGAGATCCTGCCAGAGGGCGAGACGGGAATGTGGCTCCTGTGGATGACTCTGCATATGCCCAGCAGATGGGCAAGGAAGGAAGCGAATGTGATAAACCTATGGGTCATCTGAACCACAAAACTGGCCAGAACAGGCAGCTTTTCAGAGAGGTCTGTAGGGAGAAGTTAAGAGCAAACACTCTATAGTCTAAGGAACTGATCCAGTCCAGAATCTGCAGAGCAGAACCCGAGACCCAGGCCTGCATTGTCCAGCGAGAACAGCCACCAGCCCCACGTGCCTTCAAGCCCCTGAAACGGGGCCAATCCAAACTGAAAACAGCTGTAAAGGTAAAATACACCCCAGACTGCCAACACCTCATACAAAAAAAACAAAGCATCTCAATGGCTTTTTATATTGATTACATATTGAAATGACAGTGTTTGGGACATGCTGGATTAAATGATTTTTTAAAATTGATTGTAAAAGGGGGGGGGGCGGGGAGGGGGAGAAACACACTGAGCTACCCAGCCAGGACAGTTAAATGACATTTTAATGTGATTACCAGACCATTTAAAATTATACGCAGCCCTGACCGGTGTAGCTCAGTTGGTTGAGCACTGTCCTGTGCACCAAAAAGTTGCCAGTTCAATTCCCAGTCTGGGCACGTGCCTGGGTTGCAGGTTCAGTCCCTGGTCTGGGTCTGTACGGGAGGCAGCCAATTGATGTTTCTCTCTCTCTCTCTCGCTGCCCCCCCCCCGCTTTAAAATCAATAAAAACATATTTTAAAAAAATAAAATGATGTGTGGCTAGCATCGTATTATCATTGGATAGCACCACTCTAGGCACTCATCCAATGCCATCCAGGTGAGGCTCACCCCGGGGTCTAGGCCTCATGAACAAATCTTTATAACTTAGGGGAAGCAAAGGGCTCCGTTCCCAGACGGCATGGGGTGGTGAGAAAAAGAGCATGGGCTCCTGAGTCACAGACCCCCGTCTGGTCTCAGCATGGCCCCTCCATGCCAGGCACATCACCCAACCTTTCTTAGCTATCGCAGGGGACAGACAGAGGAAATAAACATCAGACATGTAGGAAGTACCGAGTGGACATCAATATGCTGCCCTGTCGCCCAGGTGGGCACAGGTATGATTTAAGTGTCTGGACCCCTGGCAGGGACAGGGCCGTATGCCCTACACAAGGAGACCTGGCCAAGGGGATCTAAAATCTGGTCACTTCTGCTGACTGTGCCCCTCTGGGCAAGGGATCACATCTACCCAAAGGCACAGGCACCTTTTCTGATTCATGGAAAAGCGCCGTCTGCTCACCAAGCCAGGCACCCACAGACCAGACAGCTTTCCTGAAGGGGCAGGAGTCCTGTCCCCATGGGCCCTATGGGGGAGCCCATGCCTGGAAGCCCCGCCTGCAGACACCTCTGCACTGCCCCCCTCCCGCCTGCCGGCCCCTCACCTCAGGCAGGGAAGAAACGGACTCGAAGCTCATGCGCTTCTCGGCACAGGTGGGAGACCGGCCGCTGGGCCGCCGGCAGCTCTTGGGGCCTTCAGACTCCCTGCGCCCCTTCCCCTGCAGCAAGAGGGCAGCCGTCAGGTGCCGGGACAACGGGGAGCCGGTCCCTTCTGCATCCCACCTCGGGCAGCACCTCCTGAGCCTAGGGGGCTGGGCTTTGCTGGGAGCCAGCCCTGGACCGGAGCCACTCCACAGCCAACGTGAACTGGTCCCTGCCAGGCATGCGGCCTCAGGAAAGCCCCACCCTCCCGACCCTTCCAGCCCTGCTGTGTGCTGCCTTCCC